ACAACGGGGCGGAATCAAAGATGAAAGCTAAAATTAATTGGTATCTCACGTTCAAAACATAATGAGTTTTTTTTATATATATATATACAAAAAAAAAAATATATATTTTTCAAATAGATTTTTTTGATTCAGCTCATTATGGAAAGGATCCCAAAATTGCAAATGCAGAATAATTGGTGAAGAAAGTTGTTCGTTTGTTTTTTTTTTTTTCAAGGCTCTGGTTCTGATTCTTCTCCTCATCAAACAACAAATCAATAAATGAACCACTGGCCAGCTTGGCGGTGTGGGGTGGGAGAGGACTGTTTTTCACTTGCTTCCCCAGCTGAAATCCCTGTTCCTGCAGGGACCAACGGATCTAATCAGAGGCAATGCTGCTATGTTGTTCTAGGCTTAACTGGAAGCCACGGGCTCACACACGTCCTGCTTATTTCATCCCTGTCCTCAGCAGACATTTCACTGGGAAACATCACTTTTTTTTGTCCCCTTGTGCTGGTGCTGGGCTGGAGGCAGCTCAGCACAGCCAGGTTCTTACCCACAGCGAGATCAGGAGACTCTGCATCCCATCACAAGGTCAGTAGAGATCTATAGCAAGTCCCCCAGGGGACAGAGACAAACCCTGCATAGCAGAAGGAAATAACTATTTTTGTAACAGGTGGGTAAGAATTTGAGGATTTTTTTTTTTTTAAAGTATAATAATTATTAATGAAATTTTGCTTACGGGAGTTCCCTGCCATTATACATTTCTAAATTTCTCCACTTTTTTTTTCTATGCTGGGGCAATAAATTTGCTGATTGTACGAGAAAAAGTGTTCAATGGCCTTTCAGTGAATGTCTTCCACAGTGGGTCAGAACTTGAGCAACCTTCATTTAGGAAACATGTTCTAAGGACACTATTTATGTTTTTAAAACTGTCACACGATCTGTACAACTGACTTACAGGTACAAAGAATAAAATAAAGGTAAACTTTACCTTCCTTAAATATATACTTCCTGCCTTAAAGAAAGCATTTCCATGAGCATAGCTGGTGAAAGGGTTAAAATCTGCAGAGCTTTACACTAGTTTAGGGTGTGTCTGCTGTGTGTGTGTGGAGATGATCCAGCTGCATCCAAGTCCTGTCACTTTTTGCCTGCCACACCTTGCATTATCCTTAGTCAAACTGTGCAAAGTCTACTTCTGGTGTTTCACAACAGTAGGGATTTTTTTATCCTAGATTTCCGCTTACTCTGTGGATACTGAACCTTTTTTGAGCCATAGGATCCAAGCCATAAAACTCTCTCAAGCATTGAATCCGCTCAGTGCTCTTTGCTCAGATTTGCAAGTCGGAAGGATTCAGTGATACCTTGATACCAACAACAAAAAACGAGCAAAAATTAAGATTTTTTTTTTTTTTTCTTCCTTTTGTTAAAAAAGTTGTAATTTCCTGAGGCAGATCAAGTTCCCTTGCAGTGCCACAGGTTGTGCTGGAGGATTGCCACTGTTCAGGGGGGGCGTTGTGAAACCAAAACCCAAGTGCTCAGGAGCTGTTTGCACTCTGCATATCTGCAAACCTGGCTGCATTCTGGATTGCACTGTTTGCATGGGGAATATCTGCCAAGGCCTCAACCTCCAGCCCCTGGAGCCTCTGTGCTGCTCGTTCCTGAGGTGCCCTGACGTGGCCACTGAGGAGAAAGGGACTTGCTTAAAAAAAATAGTCATTTTTGGAGGCAGATCTCTCTTGGTCCCAGTTACAGCCGCCGGTTGCTTTTTGCTTGGCTGGGTAGATTGTCCAGTGGAATTGGTTTATTATGGCTGGCAAGAATGGCAAGAGTTGTTTGTCTGAGTTCACTGAGGAATTACAACCCCCAAGTCATCGGTTTTCCAAGGAAATTCCATGTACTGTCAATGTTTCATCCCATAGGTTCTAAGTTGAATTCCCTACCATGACTGTGAAACTTTGGGAGTGTGACTCAGACAGCAAGCACACACTATGCAATATGGTTTATCCTGTATTTATTTGTAAAAAGATCAGACATAGATCCTCTATATATATATATAATAGTGTCAAAATTACTAGTTGTGAACTGAGGGGAGTGGAGTTGTAGCTCCTGTCTGGCTATTTCAGATAAGTGCAGAATGCATTGAATATTGGAGAGCTTAACAAGTGCTTTCTTTTGTTCATTTAAAAATGTCTTAAATTTTTCATTAGAGTATAGAATCTTATTTTTTTTATTTTGTACAAGCTGCGCTTTTTTAATTATAATCACTGAAAAATTCACTATAATTTGATTTTATAGGATTTTTGTAGCATTACAAAAATATAGTAAAACCGAGGTTAATACCTGTTGTGGCTAACCATATAAAAAGTATTAAATCTTAAACTTGAACAAAAGTCATATTTTTTTTTACTAGATGTTAAATAGGGAAATATTTTGTTCTGCAGGTCATTCTCAGAAAAGGTTTCTAGGTCAGCTGTGTTACCAGCAGTTTTTCTTTTTCCCATTTGATGCAGAAACTCTTCTGGTATAAGATATTCCGAATTCCATCAGTTTTCTTGTGGGAGTGATGCATTTGACGCCATTCGTGTACTAAATTGTAATTTTGGGAATGCTGGAATAATTCCTACCAAGACTGTCTTAATTGTGCCATCTGACATTTGAATGTCATCCTGGTATTAGCTCATAATAAAAGATAAAAATCAACGAGTCAATTGTTCTTTTGAATATCCCTTTTTCCTGGTCCTGCTCTCTAAAGGCTGAACTGCTGGAGAACATTTCATAGCTGAGTCCACTCTGCAGTGGAGGTTTATTTGGGGCCTGTTCTCTTTTCAGTATTAACTCCCAGCCTGTTCTCACTGTTAATCAAGAAGTGCATCAAACACTGAGGGAGGACTCTTGTTTTTAGGACGTGGTTGGGGTTTGGTTGGTGTGGTTAAATTGTCTCTACAGGATAGTTGCTGTTTCATTTTCCCAGTTCAGAGGGAAATCCTTTATCCTAAGGGGGAAAGGAGCAGGAGGAGTCATTAAGAACAAGGCAAATTGAATATTTTTCCTGCAGGTCCTTGTGTGCAGTTCCCAAATATTGTTCTCTTCCAGATCAACTCCATTTGCAGCTGCTGCAGGAACACACCTGAGCTGCCTCAGTACAGACAAGGTAATCCCTGTTCTGGGTTCATCTTTCCCAGTTTTACTGGGACTAAATGTCCTCAAGTGCTCAGTAAGATGGATGTGAAGAGCAACTAAAAGCAAATTTAAACGTGTCAATCCCAGTGACCTGTTTCTTTTTTAGGAAGTGGGAAGGCCCTGAGTATAACTATGGATGGAAATCATTGTCTTTATGACAGCTTGGATGGGAAAGGGAGGGAGGAGGAATTCCCTGAGAACAGAAAGGACCTGGGAGATGCTCTTTGGCTCAGCCTGTTACCGAGGGCTGGTCCCCTCACCTGGGCTTTGGGGCTTGGAAAAAGCAGCTGTTGGTTGTCACCTGTTCTCTGTTCTGCCCCTGCAGAGTCAGATGTGCTGCCTGTTGGTGACCCTGGCCTGGATTAGGAAGAGCTGCATCCTAATTCCATGTGGATCAGAGAGGGTGGCATTCCTGGAGGTGAGTTCCTGCCTGTTTTCCCTCTCTGTATGTGAGAATGAGCTGTTTGTGTAAATCTAAACCGGTCCATCAAAATCTCTTCGTAGTTCTTTGGTTTTCATAAAACCTGTTTGGTACTACTGGGTTTGGATAATTTTCACTGGATCTTCAAGGGAAAAAAAAACACCAACAGAAAGAGAGAAAAAACCCAAATTTGTCCTGTTTTTGACCAATCTCCACCCTTCCTCCAGTTGTTACTCCAGTGTGGTGCACAGAGCCCAGAGGATCAGGGTTGACTTAAAGCACTGACACTGTTTGTTGTGCTCCATAAAATAATCCTGGTGAGCTTTGTGGGCCAGCTGACACTGCTGAGTTCTTGTGTTGGTTTTTTTTTTTTTTTAACCACAAGTCAATACTTTAATTGGTTTCATATTTTTAAGTAGTAGTTCTGGCCTTGCCTGCAGTCCTTGATGCCTTAATTCCTCAGTGGGTATTGAACCACCTGGTGAGGTGAGCAGTTTGTACTTTGTCCTACAGCAAAATATTTAGTTCAGGGTGATTTCTTTCAGCTCTCTCTGCAAAGCTGGAACGTTTCTGTGTGAAGCAGTGCACTGAAGGGCTGTCAGGACCTTCTCAGCCTGCCAGTCTGAGCTGTTGGTCCTGACAGAGCGATGGAATTGAAGTCTGGGGCTGCCCATCACTGCTGGGCAATTAATGTAATCAATACTGAGGAATTAAGAAGTGCATTTCCTTGCTCTAACAACGTGTCCAAGTCTGGGGCCTTTCAGTTTCTGTTTCCTCTGAGAGGATTTTTGAATGGAAAGCTGTTGGAATTAGCATTTCAGGGAAAGCTGCTCCAGGCTAAGTGGCAATGTTTATTTTGCCTGGTATTTTGGAAGGGGTTGGTTGTCACATCTGCCCTTACAAACTCTGTGTTGGGTTTAGCCACCCATTTTACTCACACCAGCAAAGGTTTTTTTACTCAGAATCCTGAATTCTGCCCACATTCCCCTGGGAGCTGTGCCTTTAAGGGCTCTCTCCCATCAGCCCTGGCAGCCCCATCAAGGTCCCTGTGGCAGCTGCAGCTCTGGAGGATTCACTCCCTGCCCTGCCCTTGGGGTTCTCCATCGTTCACCAAGTAAGTGTTTGACTTTTTAATTCTGTTTGTACTCAATTTAGAAGTTTCTAAAGGTATTCAGTTAAGGCAAACTCAGGTTAATGGCAACTAAATGTAACTTTCCTGTAGCAGAATAATTTGAGTGGCTTTTTTGAGCCTTATCTGAGCAGCAAAGTGAGAAAAGACAAGCAGGAAAACAAAGTGAGATTATATCTAATTAGTGCTATAATTAACATAAAACCTAATCATGAATAAATTGTAGCATTTGAAGGGTTTTTGTTTTTCAGAGACATTAATTTAACAACAAAACTAGACCTGGCACTGAGCTTTAAATACTCAAACAGTAACAAATCTTTCTTTATTCAACATGCACCAAACAAGTAGATTTAAATGCTTTTATTCTCTCTGATTTTTATGCATACTACAAATTTGCAAATGCAGTATAAAATAGATTCTCCCCTGTAAGAAAATCTGGTTCCTGTCACGACAAAAAATATAATATTAAAGATCTGTTTTAAAAATACCAGCTTTATAAAATGCTCAGTAAAAAACTACCATCAGAGGTTGGTTTAAAGGCAAAAGGTTAAGCCAAAGATCCATTAGGAGCCTACAAGAACCTAAAGGGAAACATTCTTGTGCTTATCCAGGTACAGTGAGAAACAGTTGCTGGTACAGGTGCATGAGTAAAAAAGCAATTTAATTGAGTGGGCAAGCACTGAAGGATCTTTAATGCCAAGTGTGACAAGGAGCTCTAATTCTCACTGTAGTCCAGAGGATAAAGCTTGCTCAAATAAAAGTGGTAGGTGGACCTTTGGGGTTGAGTCATGTTAGGAGGATAAATAGAGTTTAGCACAGTCTGGAACTCAGAATGTTGAATTAAGTCTTAATGCAGCATATTTCAGGATTTCTCTGGTTCCTATGACAGTCACAAGAGAAGCAATGCTGGCTTTGTCTGCATTCATTCTGAAAACTTAAGTTTTCTCTGCGTAAAAAAGGCCAAGTTCCCATTTTCTGCTCTGTTTTAAAAACTGGAACGTTTGGTAGGAGCCTGGGCTGTAGAACTGGGAAAGCTCCTACAAGTGAATCGGCAGGAAACTGAGAAAACTCAGAGGGAACAAACCAAGTTGTTTGAGAAGCTTTAGAAAATCTGGAGGTGCATTGATGTGGCTCCATCCTTCCACTTGTTAACGTGGTCTGAAATGACAGTTCTGCAGAGGGGACACGTTTTTTCTCTATTAAACCACAAACTGATGCATTCTTCACAAAATGTGTGCTGCAAGAAAAGCAGGAGAACTTAGAGCTCCTGAGCTCTTCCACGTGTAACATTCTATATTAATTGCTCAGCCTGATTTCTACAAATAATCATTAAACATGTAGTCACCCATCTAATTTTATGTTGTTTAAAATAGTCTTTAATTTGCAACAAAAATAATAATTGGGATTATGTGTGTTACCTGACAGATGAGCAGAATAGGCTTCTGAAATTCAGCTTGGCAGATGGGACAGATATCATCTGATTCTGAGCACTGTCTCTTGCTGGCTGGCACCCCATAGTGCTGCAAAACAAAGGGACTTCAGCAAATGTTGGTTTCTAGGGGGATGAAAAAGCCAAGACCAAACACCAGGACAGAAAGGAATTTGGGCTGCTATGTCAGGAAGAGTATTAAATCCCTAACCCAAGGAAATATTGCTCATTTTTGAGGTCGAGCAGGCCAAAAAGGGTGTGTTACTTCACATCCTTTTATTTGAAGGGTTGTGCAGAAGAGATTTTGGGGGGGGTTGCTGTTGTTCAAATGACAATAAAATCACGTAGTTAAGGAATTCAGACTGAAATGGGACAGGGGAATACAGGTTTTCATGTAAAAATGCAGTTGTTTATTGCTAGAACAGTACAAAGCAATATGGGAATGAGGTATTTTAGAAGTATTTGCACGTAAATTGGGTTTATGGTTTTGAATTTTTGAACTCAATACTCACTGGGCGTGTAAAAAATATCCGTAAAACCTGCCTGAAGTTTCTCAGTTGTCCAAAAAAGCTCAAAAGCTGAAATGGGAAAGAAAACTCGAGTTATGTTTAGTATTTTTTCCCCTCTGTGAACTAAAAAGCTTCCAAGCTTTTGGCAGTGGCCTCACTGCTGGTTGGATGTTGGCAGTTACATGAGCAAAGCCTTAGTTCAGACTGACCCTCTTTGAGTTGTTTTATGTGTAACCAGACTAAGGTTTATTCTTTCAGGTGTTTGTTCTTTAGAAGAAAAATGGGGTTGAGGTTCTGAACTGTAACATTTGAGTGCAAATTCTCGTATTTGCCAGAGTGTTGGGGTTGTGGTGAAGGTACCAGGGCATTAGGAAGTTTTGGTCATGATCAAAGCCAAACTTGTCCTGACTCTGGTTCCATTTGGGCCAGAGGAGCTCTCTGGTGAACAGAGAGCCAGCATGAGCACGTGTAGCTTGTTTGGCATCACACAGGATCCTCTAGCAGAGAAAAAATCCAGTTTCCTGGATTTTCCAGTTCTTTTAGTCACTGTACTTCTGCAGGCTCTTTTCCTCAGTATCCTACAACAGTCTGATCGGTGTCTGACGTGAGGGGATCTTTAATAAGTGTTCTTTGCTCTGCAGTCCCAACCCCTTCCCAGAACAGGGGCAGGAAATGATGATTTAGGGTCCTGAGCCAGGTTTTTTATCAGTTTTTTGGGAGGCTGCCTCAGTTGAAGTGAAGCACTGACTTGCCATCAGTGCAGAGGGGAACTTCCAGCAATGTGTTGGTTTGTGTGTCCCTGAATGGCTTAGAGGAATATAAAGCTGACCCACCTTTAGGATGAGGTAGAGAAGGCCCAGCAGGATCCCAAGGGTCCATCCCAGGCCACTGTCCAGCTCCCCATGGGCAATGAGAAAACGGAACCACACTGGGATGGGGACAAACATTCGGTAATACTGGCAGAGTTCTTCCAACAGCAGGTACCAGTAGCCCTGAGCAAGACATGCAAAGGAAGAGCTCAAGTTTTCAAACACAAAGGTTTGGGAAAATACAGAGAACAAGATGCACTGTTATTCTTTTTCAGTAGCTCCCTCTTGTAATGTCTTGAAATAACTAAATATGAAATAACAGATGATGGGTCTCAACTGTGCAAGAAACAGGAACAGAACTGATGGCTGGGCTGCAGAAAATCAAATTAATAGGCTGAAATATGATGGATTTGGCAGTTGTCTACCTACTTAATGCTGTCATGAGCATAAAAAAAGGAAATAAAAGTTATATGAAAAAGGAAAATAAGATGAATTTGGTCACACAGATCAGCTTGTCATAAGCCAGAGCTGTGCCCTGCCCTCAGGGTTAAAAAATGAGAGTAAGGCCCATCCTTTTATTAACAAACATTATTTACAAACTGTTTTCCTATAAACATTATTTCATGCCTGGGTAAGAAGCCTTATCTTGTGATAATGAACTCATTTAAGGATGGGATGACAAGAAAACTGGGGGCCAGGAAAGAAGGGGAGGGTAACAGGTAACCAGAGTTCAGTAACACCCTAAAAATTCCTGAGGAACAAAACACAAGTGTCCTGCACAGAGCACTGTGTGTGTGCATGGAGAATCATAGATATTTAGCTTAGCTCTTACTTTATTTCCTTCAGTTTCTCTTTAAAACTCTATAACAGAGAAGAAGCACCCCTTCTGCAAAGGACACTGGATAGTGCCACAATTTGCCACTATTGATCAGATTCCTTCTTTAATTTAGGCACAATTTAGGTCACAGTTGGTGTAATGGAATTTTCAATAACTGTTTTTTAGATGTTACATCACCAGCTGCAGAGAAACCCAAAGATCTTGATCATAAATGAGTATTTAGAGAAGCCAGTTGTACCTGAGAAGAACTTGTTCTGGCACATTTTAAGAGATAAAACCTCCCAGAACAATCCTGTTCAAAAGCTACCACATGCAACTGTACTTGTTAATTTATTTTTTGGAACCAGCACTAGTAATTGCAATTTTAAGATAAAATGTAATTGGTTTTGCTGCCTCACCTCGGGAAGCAGATAAAAATAAATACACCACCAATCAGGGCAAGCTCCTGAGAAAATTATTAAACCTCACTGATTTGAGAAATTAAGCTATGAATCAAGTTCACTGATCTGACACGAATATTGCTGAGGTTTATCAGCAAAAAGAAAACTCAGAATTGCTTTGGAAGAGAGAAAAAAAGCAGCTGTTTGCATGTGCAGCCCTTAAAACCCTGCCAGACATTGTCAGGCATGTACCAAATTTGCTGTGCCCCAGCTGCTCCAGGCCAACTGTGCACGTTCTTGGAGTGCAGGAAAGGAAAACTTTCCTCAACCCCCACCTCAGAGACAGAAATAAACCCATTTATCCAGTGGCATAACACGAGGAATTGTTTCCCAGCACACTGAAAACCTTCCTTAGCTCCAAGCAGGGAAGAACAGGAAGTCCACAGGGTTTTCTTGCCCAGGGTGTAGCGGTGGATTATATACAGATCTTTAATTAAAGACTTTTCTCTAGGTAGAATTTAATAATTAGCTCATTTTACCAGAAAAGAATCTTCACAAGGAAGCAAAAATAGAGCTTGTTTCCTTACCTTGGATTTAAAGGACATGATAAAAGAAGGCACCAAGAGAATAAAGCACTTGAAGCCCATGAAGAGGAATTTCAGAATAAAATCCGTGACTCCCACAATCCAAAGTACCTCCCAGAAGTTCATAAAATCCACCGTAGGGTTTAAGAAGATTAAGCTACAAAAAGAAGTAGCAGAAGTTACTGGAGCATCCTATTTAGAGGCAACTGTAACCAGAGATTATCACAGCAGGTTTAAAGAGGGAAACCTGGTTTACACAAAGGAAAAATGTTTGCCAAGGAATTGGGAATTGATCCTTAGGATCTCTGACAGTTTTGGAGGCTTTGCTGTGTCTCCATCACAACCCTCATCCCTGGGTTTGCTTTCTCATTTTGGCACTCAGCCTTTGATTCCCAGCCCAGGCTTCAGCTACAGAGGGAAAAAAGGGAAAAATCCCTTGGAGTCATAAACGGCACAGAGCCCCAGGAGGGCCAAAGCTGGGAATCAAACCCAGGACATTCCCATGGCACAGTAGTGCCATTAAGTCCACTGTTGGGTGTAGGAAATTCCAGCAGACTGTTTTTAAGCACAGCACCTGCTGAGTTGGGCAGAAGGGGAGGAAGGGAGATTAAAGTGAAAGAGAAACCAAGGCCACAATTAAAGAAAAACAATAAATGTTCCCAGTTGGTTTTGAGTGATTTATGGGGTGAGTAGAGGTGTTTCTGTGCTTACCTGTAGTACAGGGACTGAGAATGAAAGGTGTAGTACAGGAGCAGGGCTGATCCACTCAGGTACAGCAGTAACCAGGTGCACTGCAGCTTGGAGCACCGTTCCTGTGGGAGAGTTGGGAGGACACGTTGCAGTCCTTACCTCAGGAGCAGCGTCTGAAGCAACCCCCAGAGCACCTGAACAGTCACTACCAGAGGATTTTCTCTTAGTGGTTTTAGGCCACGTGAAACAGGAGAACTCAGTGGAAAGGTAAAGCAGTAATTTTAATGTTTTCAAAATACCGATTTCTCTGTGTGTCAGGGTTTTTTCTAAAAACACAACCAAACCCACCCCACTCTGAGGAAACAACAGGTTTCCCTTTGGGAGTGAACAGAGAGATGAAAATTTAGGCTGTCAACTGCTGTTTAATCCACAAGTATAGTTAAGTTCTTCCATAAGTTACAAAAAGCTTTTATCAGTCGAAGTGATTTCCAGTCAAAGTCAGAGGAGGGGAAAAAAAAAAACCCCCTTTTAACCCTTATTATCTGAGAAGTTCTACACTGTACAGAATCATTAAGACTACTTCCATCTTGAAACCTAACGTTATTAGGTAAATAAGCAGTATTTCCATTCACATTTCTTTCAAAATTTGATGAATAAAAGTCTTGGTTAACTTAGAGAATTTTGTGTCATAGGGTGATACTTACTCTTAGAAAAACCTGATTTACTATGCTTTTGTTTGCATAGGCATAAGTTGTTAGCAGCCCAATTCCAAGAGAAATGCCTATTAGGAAAACAGGATCAGTTATACACATGAAAAGGGGAAAAAAAAATCACTGAACTGGGTTAAAAAGCAGCCACTTCTCATATGTCTTTGTAATTACAATTAATAGCTCAGACTCTCCAAGCAGGATAATTAAGCACATAGTACATATGCCAGCAAAGGAAACAGCAGCCACTGAAATGCAGTTTAGCAAATCTCTCTTTCTGCTGAATAAAGCAAATAAAAATAAAGCTAAAAATAAATTGAATTATCCTTCAGCCTTCAGGTTATTAGTCTGTCTCTTTGGGGGGGGAGGGTTTCCTCTCTCAGCCCTGGTTTTGTCATACTCTACCACTGAGGTGCTGCATGAGGAGTTTGACACAGAGGATCAGGAGGTAGGGCAGGCTCTTGTGCAGCCACTGCAGGAGGTAGCGCAGCTCCGCCAGGGAGCCGCCGCCAGGATCCTCCGAGTCCGGGCCGGGATCCTCCGGCCCTGCTGCTTCCCCATGGCCGTGGGAGCGGCTCTGGGAGCCCTGCCTGGAGCTCGTGCTCTCCCTGGCCTCTCCCAGCTGGATGTGCACGGCCCCGGGGCTGGGATGGCAGGAGCTGTCTCCCGCCGGACAGGGATCGCCGCTCCCCGCGATGCTGTGGAGGTGGCCGCAGTTTGGCTGCATGGTGGGAGTTTTCCTGGTCCAGGTTCTTGCTGATTTGTGCCTCCTAGAGTGGGATATAAAAAGTCACAGTTGAAGAAAGAGATAAATAGGGAAAAAAAAGTATCCAGTATATTGTACTGAATGATTGTCTGCATGGAGTAAAGACAAGATTCCCCAAGATCCTGTGTGTGTTCATTCCCAAGGCTGGGTTCCCACCTCCACAGGACAGCTTTCTGTGTGCCACTGAAATTGTTTCCTTCCACCCCCGTGCAGGTTTCCCTGGCATTCCTTAGGAACAGCTGAAGTTGCTTCAGTGCAAACCAGGGCAGCAAAAGCTGCTGGACAGACCAGCACTGGCTTGTACAGGAGAGATCTTGGAAGTGCTGCATAATTGCACAAAAATAGCAACAGCAGGAGGGCAGGGAAGGAGCAAACAGGGATGGGAGGGAAGGAAGGAGCACATTTACATGCACCCATTAAGCAGTGAGCACTGGTTCAGACACTGTCTGGTGAGAAGCCATGCTCCAAACTGAGGGCCATTATCAGATTAATGTGATTATCCTGTCTGGGGAAGGGAGCAGAACCAGGTTAGGCCATATTGTAAAAAGCATTTAAAAGAGACTGGGTCTAAGTGAAAAATGAAATGCAGCCAACAAATAATCCAACAGCGAGAGCAGCCAAACAAGCTCCCATTTATCTTTGCATTGGCATCTTTTGATTGTCTTCCTGGGCAGTTTCTCACTTTATATCAGCCTTTACTCTGATCAAATAGTGTTAAATCAGCTTCTCTGGACTGGTGTGACATCAGAGTAACGATTTTGGAGAATGCCTTGAAGCTGAATTTGGCACAGTACTTGTCACTATGGAGTAGTATTATTGAAACATTGGGAATTTTGTTATAATCCTTCTTCTGCCGTTCAAACTCTTATAGATTCCTCTTTGAAATTATTTTTTCCACAGCTAATTTCACCGGGGATACAGAAAGGTTACATCAAACTTGGTTTTGCACAGCAAAAAGTTCTCGATGCATTTGTACAAAACCCAAGTTCTTTAGCCTTTAAAAATAAAATTATATTAAAAGGTAAACCGCAATCATTTAATATACGAATATGGGAACTTAGTAACATTTACAAGTGCTGCTGTACTACTACTATTTTTTGTTGGCCAAAGATGACATCATGCTTCAAACCAGCCAAAATTCATGTCCTGAATTTTTCTGCACAGGAATAAAGCCGATGAACTGGAGATGGTACTGACTTGTGTGAACTGAGTCCCGCAGGATCGGGACACCAATGTTGGTTTTAACAGGAAAGGGAATTAAAAAAAAAAAAAAAGACTGTTTAGCACTCTCCAGATGGTGGTTTTGGGGCAAAACCTGACAGTTGGGTGTTTTAAACAGCGAGCGATCCCATTGCCGAGCAAACTTCCAAATCACTGGAGTTATTAAATGGGATTTGCAGAGAACAACCCCGCGCACCCCCAGACGTCGCTCTCCCGCCCCAGATTTGCCAAAATAAAGCGCCTGATAAAGGCCCTTCAAAGCCTCCCGGGGCCGCTGCTCCCGCCGCCCTCGGGGATCCCCCGCCCGCCCCTCGGGAGGGCTCGAACCGCGGCGGCACCGCCGAGCCGGGACCCCCGGCAGCGCCTCGGGGGAGGGTCTGGACCCCGGGACCCCCGCCCCGGGAGGGGAAGAGCCCGAAGCCGCGTCCTCCTCCCCCGCCCCGGGCTGTGAGGGGGGCGCGGGGCCGCCCCTTTCCCGCCTTCCCTCCCGGTACCTCATGAGGCGCCCGTCGCCTCCCGCCCGCCGCCCGCCGCCATCGCCGGGGCCCAGGGGGTGGGAGGAAGAGGAGGAGCCGTGAGGGGAGGAGGAGGAGGAAGGAGAGGAAGAGAAGGAAGAAGAAGAGGAGGAGGAGGAGGAAGGCTCCGAGCTGGGCGTTGCTCTGGCAACGTCGGGGCCTTCGCCCCGCCATGGCCCATGAGGGGCGGGGGCGGGGGGGACTCCCCTCAGGCGCAGCCCCGCCAAAATGTGTGGGGCAGGAGGTTCCTACCGAATTTTATCGAAAGCCTCAATTAAAATTAACCTGCGAAGGCTGTAATAAGGAAGGAAATTAAGGGATGTGTGTATCTATATAAATATATGTGTGCTGCGGTGGCTTGTCGGTGGCGATTAGGGAAGTCCTGCTGTCTGGAAATTGGCTTTGCCTCCCAGGACACCTGAGGGGAGCGGTGCCCTAGTTAATGCTGCGGGAGCTCTCGGGAGAGGCTCGAAATGAAATGGATACAGGGGGTTATTTTTCGTTCGAAATATGCTCTTGAATAAATTAGTTTTGCGTCCAGAAATGGCATCTGTTTTCCTTGGCTCGGGTGTTTTTCTTAGGAGTGTTTAGGTATGCAGCTCACACGGGAAGCGGGGCTAATATCTGAGCAGCTTTGGATATCGGTGCTGTGTCGTGTTAGAACAGAAATGCTGCTTTAATTCAAAAGTTTAAATACAGAAATGCTGTGGGGTCAGTAACCCCGGGAGGGGGAAAGGACGGGCACTTAAAACATAGAACTCATGAGGTGAGAAACTAAGTGTTTTATAAGAGTTAAGTGGCCTTATGTTCAGTGACACCATCTGAAAATGAACCTTCTCTTTTATTTTCAAGGAAGTAGCTGAAAACACTGGATACACCTCTGTTTCTCCTGGAGGTAGGTTTCAAGGAGGCATCTGCAGCAATTTGGTCTACTTTTGTGATGTTTTTGGAAGCTGTGCCTAGAATTTCTCATCTGGATGTTTCAGGCCTTGTATCCTCTGCGTTCCACTCGGGCTGTGGCTGATGGGCTGGAAGAAACCTGGGCTGGTTATTACAGATACACTTAATATTAAACAAACAATTAAACAAATGTGGGCCCCCTGAACTCAGAAGACCTTCTAATGTGTGTAAGTCTTCTGCCTAATTATCAAAATGCTCAGTAGCAGCAGCAATGCAGATTTCAGATGCTTGGCTGGAAGCACTCGAAGAATTACATGGCCATGTCCCCATCCTTCCAAGGATAACACAGACCTGTTGTGTTTGGCTTCTGCTGTGCCATATTGTTCGTTCTCCCACTCTTTGCTCAGTCAGTCACTCACAGCGTGTTTGGATTGTGAAGGACAACGTGAAAAAAATCTCAATTTGATTCTCAAATCAGGAAAAGCAATTATAAATCTTTTTTATTTTTAAATAGTATTTTACGGTTGGAAATTATGCATGCCTTCTGTACACCGCTTGGAAGGGTATAAATATAAAAGATTTCTTCAGCTGTTTCTTTTTTGTAATTATAAAATGCATTAAAGTACAAATGTAGCTCTAAATCAGTGTTGTCCTCAAACTGCTTTTCATTGTTACGTGGACTGGAAATATGAAATTAATTCGTGGCAGCTTATTAATCAATAATGTTTGCTCATGCAGGTCACTTGCTGATTTATCTCCAGTTCACAGCTCATTGGAAGGTATGTAACTCTTCAGAGATGTTGTTATTTAACAGGTGTGTTTTCCTGGTGCTATTAATGACCTCTGGATTTAGTAACTCCTGACACAAGAAAGATTTCAGAGATTATTCACATAAAATTGGAAGTCTTTTCCCATGGGTATCGCACACGTTAGCTCGTGGGATACCTGGTAATAAATTTACCAATCTGTATTTGGATTCCACTCCCACCAATGAATTTCACAGAGTTGGCTGGATCAGTGTCCAGGCACGTTTTCAGGCATAGATACACTCAGACATAAGTATCCCAGATTTTCTCACCCTCCCAGATATAGGTGGTACCTCCTTAATCGGTGCAATCAGCAGGTTTGCTCAGTGTGTGCCTGCTTTCCCTGGGGTTGTTCAGTGCATGAGGACATTGGAATAAACACTCATCCTTGTGGAATTCTGCCCTGGCAGCTCGGTACTTCCCTCTGCAGTAATTCCTCTGTACTAAAAGTTGCTGAGAGCTTGTTCCATATTAGAAGAAAATATTTTGTATCCTAATACCCATTCCTGGAGGAGCTCTTGCAGAAATCTTCCTGCAGGGCAGGTCGAGGGATTACAATCTGCATCTTTTGTATCACCTTTTTTTTCAGCAGGAGGTGTGGAAGGAAACTGGTGCTTTAAAATGAGATGTACAGGATACATCTGTGGTGAGATTTAAAGGAGCTGATCTCAGATACACGGAGAGCAATTTTAGTTAATGATATGACAAAAAAATTGGGTTTTTTTGTAAGAGTCTGTAGAATAGCAGAATGTCCTGAATATTCAAAGGCTTTATTGGTTGTCTTCATTTTACCCAAAATGTTGCTTGAGTGTGGAAGACTTTTGCAAAACTACAAGAGTTTAAATTGTTTGATGGATTTGAAAGTCTTGCCAAGAGGCTCAAATAACCTTTAAAATTTGAATATTTCCTGAGCTTTGAATGCTCAGTCTTTTTTCAAACTAACTCCTGCAACTACCCAACCCTTCCTTCAGTTTGTATTTCGAGCACGAGAAAACAGCTCCTGTGCTCCCAAATCTGAGGGACTGCAGGAGAGAGACCTTATAAATCTTGTTATTTATTCTGAAAACTCACCCCGGGGGTGATGGCAGAGGAGCTGAATTTCACCGCTGAACTCTGATCCCGGGAGCTTTGTCAAGGAGACTCGCGAGGAATTTGAACCAGATATTTTTACATTGCAATGACATCACCCTGTTCCCTGAGGTTTCCAGAAATCTTACAAGCTCTCAGTGTGCTCGTTCCTGTTAAGTCATTCTAAACTGAGAGTCATTCCACCGCAATGGTGTCATAGAATCGTTACAAAACTGGTGAATTAGATCCCGGAGTCTTGTTTATTTTTACACAGATAAAGCCTTGAATGAGAACGAGCCAGCGGAGCCACAAAGGGCAGCTGCAGTTTTTGCTCCCTGCGCAGGAGGGTGCTCAGCTCCTGTCTTTATCTGCAGCAAAGAGCCGTTCCCGTGGTCATTAGATCGAAGTGGAGAAGCCGTTTTCTGATCTGGTCTTTTCTTGCAGTGGCGTTGAAGGGTCTGTTAAATGCAGCGACTCGAAAAATATTCAGCTGTTACAGAATTTTCGGAGGTGTGTGTTAATTGCTCCTAAACACCATCGCGGAGGTATTTAGGTCAGAAGATGGAATGATCGTGACGTTGGGATCCTCTAATGGGTGCCCTTAAAGGTGCCAGGATTTTCAGTAGAATCTTTGAAGTTCCTCAAAATTAGGCTTTTCCCAATCTGCCGTTTTAATCAGATAGTGTGAATCCTTCAATTGAACAAGGAATTCTCCTGTGTGTAAACATGAGTGGATTTACCAGGAAGGAGTAGATAAGCTTGTTAATTTATATTCCATCTGTAGTACCTGCTAAGAGTTGTAGCCTTAATTATTTTTTATTTGCCTTGGTAAATCATAGAGTTGTAGAATATCCTGAGTTGGAAGGAACCCACCAGGATCACCAAAGTCCAGCTCCTGGCCCTGCACAGAACAGCCCCGAGAATCCCACTGTGTGTGTGATATTTAGTAATATATTTTAGGTTAAACTCCAAATTAGCATTCTAACATAACCCATAAAACGGAATTTCACTGACTTACTGTTGACCTTTTTAGAGCTGAGTTAAACAGGAGTCTTGGGTGTTGTTACCTGGGCAGATCTTAGTGAAGTGAGTTAACATGTTCTGTCTGAAATCAATTTGTTAAACCTCTGTCTTGTACGAGGCCAAAATATTCCAGCCCTCTGGACGCACATCCAGTTTAATTGCTAAGAAAAGACAATTTTGATTTTTAAAAAGCACTGCCATTGTAGACAGATTTCCAGGTGTTTCCTTCCAGACCTTTCAGGATAGATACAAACCCAGAAATGTAGGAGGCAAAATTTTGTTTGTCGTGTTGAAGGGGATCCATCCCATTCCCGTCAGCAAATAAATATTTGCTTAATTTCAGGCAATATTTACCTCAGTGGTCAATAAAACTTGTCTTGCACTTCACAGAGTTAATATTTACTTGCTGGTTTTAGTTTGGTGACAATATTTAAAATTCTCTGGGGGGCTTTTTTACTTCTTTTCTAACAAAAAGAGATTTTGTATTAACAAAGATGTGTTAGTGTATTAGGAAGTGTTATCCATGGGTGAGACCATGTTTGACATGTAATAAGATTATCCAGATTAGGCCTATAAGACTTTACAAGTATGGAAAGGATTTTTTTGTTGTTGTTTAAGGGTTAAATGACTAAATATATTACCAGCTTTAAAAATAATTGTTTGTGTCAGTTATGCCCACATATAGGTCATTAATAAAACTTAATGAGTTGGAGAGGAGATCCTGATATGTTTATAATTTATGGAATTATGGTCGTTCCCTACAGAATTTGTAGGATGTGTATCACACAGAAATGGGTGTCAATAATTTTATCAGGGTTAAAATCAGGGATAGATTTTTCCTTTGACCTCAGCAGCACCAAGCCTGTTTTTCCAGACATTCCTGAGGCTCTCAGTGTTGTCTGCAACAGCAACACTGAAAAATCAGTACCTGAGTGATGCAAAAGTTGCTGATTTTTGATATCCTGGTACTGACATTATGGATATCCTGTGCCCCCTAATTACTCCAAAATCAGGTGCAGACTGCAACAGCTTGGTGAAGAGGGTATAAAAATGAGACTGGAAAAATTAGGATGCAGATACTAATTCAGAAGGCAGAGGTTTCTGGAAGGAAATTAGAGTGCTCCTCCTCCTAATTGGAAAATTAATTTTCTTTTGGGAAGCAAGCACAAATTTAGCCATTTTTTTTTCAGTGAAGTCAGAGTAAATGCAGCAGCCACACTGGGATGG